TTATGTAAGTGAGGATAGCAAAATAAAGTAAACTGTGACAAATCATACCCAAAAATTCTTCATACAGTGGACTACCAGCAAAACCGATACAAATTAGGGACCAAAAATTATTCAGACTGAGTCTGGGGAAACGATGCACCGGGGACCTGATTATAGCACTTAAAACCTGGAAAAGTCAGATTTTCATGATATGTCACCTTTAAATAATTGTTGTTTTTGGTTAAAGCATGGGGACTTAAGGGCACATGCAATTATTTGTTCTTCAAAATGGGATCCGTTTAGTGTTTTTAATAAGTTTGGTTTAAAAAAAAGTTGTGCTTCGTTTCATTATTAGGGTATATAGTTGTATATATATAGTTGTATATATATATATACTTGTGTATATATATATTAGGGATGCACCGATATATGCTTACTAAACTTGGATTCACAAGCACATTTTGATTACTTCTGAGATTATGAAACTTGTTTTATTATGTTCGCTGAAGGCATAGACCTTTAATTGTTAAAGCACAGGAAGTATTTTTTCTCTAAGTTGAATTAAAGTTAAAAATTGAGTTAAACAATGTTTAAAAAAAAAGTAATGAAACTGGTTGCTATAAGTCTTCTCAAAGTGTTCTCAGCTTCATTTTTTTTTTTACAGTGTAGTTGGGAGTGGTACATAAAACAACTGAAGTCACACCTGTTATTTTTGGAGTGCTCATCTTTTCCTTTCTTCACCCCGAATATCCATGTAATAAGAGTGCTGAACAGGAGAGTCGAGGAGTTTCTCACCTAGAAAGAGGACAGGATGGAGAAACTGATATCAGAGCAAACCCATCTCCATGCACATTTATCATTCTAGCTTTGACACACATTATTACATTAAAGAGGTCAACTTCATTTCAAATCTTAAAAATGTGGCGCTCGTGGCTACACCAATCATCAGTATGCTGTGCACACAGACAGACAATTATGCAGACAAAAATGCTTTCTGTGAACAGCCATGAGTCAACCTCAGATCATTTTGAATGCAAATGGACTGCTGTGGACTGAAGGCTATGGACACTTATGGACTGATAAGCAAATAAAATTAACAACATATTAACTTCTACAGCCAGATTTCCCCATGCAGATTTCGCAATGAGTTCAAGTTGGTCACGCTGATCCACAGAGTTGAAATAAAGCTGATTGGTTTGAAAGTGACTTCCGAGTGAGTTGTGCTCTATAGAGTATATCGCTAATGACAACAGAAAAGAGACTTTTCTGCCTGCAAAATTTCATCAAAATCTGCTAATGTGACTGCAATTTTAAAGACACAGCAGCAAAAAAATGGGCTGTTTGATTAAAAAAAAGTTAAGGAAAAGTAGAAAATGCTCATGAAAACTAAATTATGACTGTTGGTGCAGAAAAACGTTTGAAGTAATAACACTTTAAAGAGATAGTTCACCAAATATATGCGAGACGTAAAGGCAGACAGACAGGTATGAGGGAGGAGAGCACAGGAATGTGACATGGAGTTGTCACCATCGTGACCTGTAGGAGCCGTGTCGCCTATGTGGAGGTGATCAAAGCGAGCAATCTAGGGCAATCGGCCAGGACCACCGCACAGCTGTGAGTGTGAGTGTCCGCACGTATGGCTCTTGATGTCCCCCGTGTTCTCATTCACTTTAATTATTAACCTGTCAGTGCCTCAGCAACAGCTATGGCCTGACAGGGTGGTGTACGAGAGGAACAGTGAACAAATGAGCGTGAGAAAGACTGGAGAGAGAATTATATACTTTAAGTCCCCCTTTTACAAAATAAAAAGTGAAATGTGTTTAGTCTGAGCAATGCATGTATATTTATGTACATTTGGATGCTTAAAGTCAAACTCAAAAATGTTTAAATCTCATGACATTAGATACAAATTTTTTTTAGTTGAATAACTTTCTTCTTTCATGTTTCACAGAAGAAAGGAAGTCATACAGGTTTGGAACAACTTAAGGGTGAGTAATGTGGACAGAATTTCAATTTTTGGGTGGATAATTCCTTTAAACGTACCTCAGGGGGAAAAATGTAATTAAAAAAACACGATATGACCTCTATAACATGAGAGAGTAGTGAGTCAGAGCACATGATGATGGCCCTCGAGACAATTACAATTCAAAAATTGGTCTTGCAGCTCCAGGGTGTACAAGAGTCACAAAGCTCACGTCATACAGGATTTGCAGGGTCTGATGTCTTGTTCCAGGAACACTAAAAGGCCTTCAAATCGCAATCTTATGTAGCTAAAGTAATACTGGACACACCAAACTTTATGTTCGAAGTGTTACTGGCTCATACCTTTGATCACATTTTTATGTCAGCTTAAGAAACATTCCTCACAGACTATAAGAAATCGGTGTGTGTTCTCTGTGACTGACTGACTGCTGCATTCTGGGAAGGATTAGGCTTACTGTACTCTATAGTAAAACCTGATGGCTTGAGCGCTGCTGTAAAAAAGGGAAAATGGTAATGACAGCAGATCCTTTGACATCCTGAGAGTAAAAAATGAG